AAAAATTAGAGGTTATAAATTACTAGCATTCTTTGGTTATATACATATAAGCATTATAAATGAAAATAAATAGTTTTTGATTGAAAATAACTATTATAGATGACGAAAATTGTATTTTCCAACAGATTACAGTTATATTGCAAATTATCGTTACAAAATTTTAATGTAAGATTTAATTATAATGAATTTTTATTACACATTTGAATTATAAAAAATTTTTAATATATATAAATATATATATAGTTTGATTATATTCTGTTATATTAGTTATAAATTATCGTTACAAAATTTTGATATAACATTTAATTATAATGAATTTTTATTTTAAATTTGAATTATAATAGATTTTTAATATATATAAATATATATATAGTTTGATTATATTCTGTTATATTAGTTATAAATTATCGTTACAAAATTTTGATATAACATTTAATTATAATGAATTTTTATTTTAAATTTGAATTACAATAGATTTTTAATATATAGTTTTATTATATTCTGTTATTTTAATTATAAATTACCGTTACAAAATTCTAATATAAAATTTAATTACAATGAATTTTTATTACTAATTTGACTTACAATAAATTGTTAATACATAATCCGATTATATTCTGTCATTTAACTTTTTATACAAAATCGATCTAGCTTTCTGTAAAAAGTATTCTTAGCAATTGAAAAAATCCTCGCCCACAAAGAATAAATTAAAGCTAAATCTCTCTCCGATCGCTCGCAATAAAGAAGAATTTTAACGCTATAATGATTCACAAGTTGTCGCGAGCTAGACATTCGGCCACCGGTGAAGAGAAGAGACGAACGATGGCAAAAGTAAATATTCGAAGAACATCTTGAAGAGGCAGTCTTAAAAAAAATACACAAAAATGGTACATAAAGTATTGAATACATAAAGACTCGAACGTGTCTAGCCGCGATTCTCCGGAGAGGACTAAGGAAAGTCAGCGTGATTAACACCGGACACTCGAACTTTGTCTCCGCATGCCGGTGCTCTGACTGTTCGCCCGATCCGTGCTCAATCCGGCTCCTTTTCGATCGCTAATCCTTTCCCATCGTCGATGAGCTCACCGTCTAATCGACGCATATATCGCCACTCGGAAATTATTCCGCGCGATGAGCGATATTTTCATGGCTGCGTCACGCGACGAACAACTGCCGAAGGCGTAAACGTGCTCGCGCTATCCGTCGATTCGGAGAAAGTCGTTCTAGCCGACTCCGCGAGTGACAGCAGCGCTTACATTATCGCGTTAGGACGCGCACGCATCGATCGCACGCGATTATAACGGCCGGTCGAAGATCGAGAAGGCGGAGGGGAAGGGGGATCAGTGGAGGCAGCGGAACAGATTCATCAACCGACACAGCCGGTTTCTTTGTGCGACGTTATTCGCGTGAATCACGCTTCTTTAATAATAACGAAAACACGGTAATGAAAACAGTACGCGAGCAGCCCACGCGGGCCCGCTGGTTTATTAAATATGGCGGTCAAGCGGTTCATGCAAATCGCGAGGAGCTCTTTACGGCTTCTATTCGGACACGAAGTCGACGTTCGTGTGCGACGGATGGATTTTGAGGAAGCGATCCGGCTCGCTTCCTTATACAGGGTGTCCCAAAAATGTCTCGCAAAGTGACGGGTTCCTCAGATGATTCGAAGCAACTTTTTCCTTTACAAAAATATTCTCCGAGGCACCGTTAACGAGTTATTATTGTGTTAACCCTTCTTTTTGGTCTACGTGATCCACACCGTGTACGTATATATTAGTATACATTAGGTTTATGTAAGCTTTTTATTTACAAATTTAAGGATCCAATTCCATAAATCAGTTTTTACTTTTTTTCGATATAGTAAGCCGATATAGTGACTTGATATTTATTACTATATAGTAACTATAGTTATAGTTATTATTACTATACAGGGTGTCCCAAAAATGTCTCGTGAAGCAACTTTTTCCTTTACAAAAATTTTCTCCGAGGCACCGTTAACGAGTTATTAACGAGAAACAGTGACCAATGAGAGACGAGCTCGGCTGGCGCGAGGCGACCGAGCCAATGAGCGGAACTGGGCTTCGCGCGCTGGTTGGCTGGGCCGCCTCGCGTCAGCCGTACTCGTTTCTTATTGGTCACTGCGTTTTCGTTGATAACTCGTTAACGGTGCCTCGGAGAACATTTTTGTAAAGGAAAAAGTTGCTTCAAATGATCCGAGGAACCCGCCATTTCCGGATTGCGAGACATTTTTGGGACACCCTGTACATTGACTCGACACATGGCGATCATGTGCTGCTTCTCGCCGCGTGGATTTCGTGCTGGAAAATGCGAAAACAGGATTGCCGAGAGATGGCGACGATTTCATCGACACTTAATTGCAGAGACGTAACTAAATATCAGGTTGGTGCACATGAAATATCGGATTTTCTTTGCGTGCGAACGTTCGTCTCGTTTTCGTTGTGCATAACCTCGAAACTTTTTGGCATATCCAGAGTCGCGTTTCAAGGAAAACGATTCTCTCGAAAGTGTTTCATTTCGTTATTTGTTATTAAGAATTCAACCGATATTCATGTAATTTTTTTACACGTGTATAAACTTAGTAATAATGCTGCGAAAGCTGCGCGTAATATAAAATCTCGTTACGCGAAGCGTATTGTAATAATTAGACTGCGCATTTCACGCATGTACAAAAACAGCGAGTAGCTGAGAGATTTAAAACGTGAAGTAAATTCGTTAAATCGAAGAACGTTTCTCAAGTAAATGAAAATTATTTAAAAAAAGACGGAGATTTCCGAGCGACGTTCACTTTATGAAATTAACGCGCAACGATGTTTTTATTTCGCGCGAAAGATCCGCGGTCTGTTACAATATTCCTCGCAACGTTTCTAACCCCTTAACTTGTACGCTCGAGTATTTTATGCTGCTATAAGCATTTTATAGTATTTTTATATAGTATTTTCGAGTATTTTATGCATGTCTGAAAAAGTTGCGCTGGCATAACTCAATTCCCCGTAATCACTAATCAACTTTAATGTACCACAAGAGGGGACATCCGAGTGATATGCTAGAATTACGATGTCCCACGAGAGGGGACAGCGGAGCGCAAAGGGTTAAATGTCCATTACCCTCGAAAGTGGAAATATTAATAAAAATGATCATAAATTGTAATAGATACGACGATTTAAAGTTGAACATTTTGAACGCTACATTTGGCGCCAAAAAATATGCTTCTTTTCCTCGCAATGTCCCGACGAACCTAATTAACTCTTTCCTTTGCTTTCTTTTTTAACATTAGGAGGCAATATTTCTCGTTAGGAAACAGTAGCTTAAATTAAGATTATCGTATCCTATATATGAAAAATATAATGTTTATTAAAATACAAAAAGTGTAAAAATTCTTTACATTCGACAAGGAATATCTTTTGACGCCCAAGGAATCACGGTTTCGGACAAACGGTATAATTTCAGGATACTTTCCTCTGCATAATTCTGTAAAAGTTACATACCAAGATGAACCAGATTGCAAATTATTACGTTTCAAAGATATCAACGTTACGTTATTTTGAGGTTAAAGATATCGAAGATAACCTCTCTGTGTTCCAGTCGGTATTACAGAACGCTTCTTCGTCTGTAAATCGACAGATATTTAAAATTTTTAATTATTCCATATAACATGAAAAATATAAGTAAACGAAACAAACTTCGTAACATTACAATACTAACGTACCTGGAATTACTATCGGGTGCTCGTAACCAGTGTGGGTGCAATAAAGTACGCGTCCCAGAAAAAGTTCTCTGTATGCATTGTATGTAGTTGGTAAATTTCAACAGTTCGAACTTTTGATAAAATGTAGAGTACGTTAATTAATCTTACCATTTTGTTATTGTTTCGATAAATCTGCAGCTTCAGGATTTAATGCATACAGAGACCTTTCTCTGGGACGCGTACTTTATTGCACCCACACTGGTCACGAGGACCCACTATTAATTCCAGGTAAGTTACTATTGCAATGTTACAAATAGTTCGTAACATTATATTTAAACAATTTTTTTCACAAAAAATGTCAATGAAAATTAATTAAAAATTATTGTTTAACAAATGCAAAAAAATTTAATTTTCTATAGCTGAAAATAACTATTTTTTAAATATTTTTGGTGAAAATTTCATTGCAATATCTTTGATGGTTCAAAAGTTATAACAGAATGTCACTGTGCGGCGTTGTCGCGGAATTTTTCAACGCATCCCGGCTCGATCGGTATGCCAAATTACCAGGGACTAATAATTGCTTTTTACCTTCAGGAAGACGCACGTGTCTGCATGTGACCTACATTCGTATCGAGCCATATGGCCGCCGATTCCGAGCCGGGACCGCTAAAAAGGTAGCGCATGTCGAGGGGAAATAACGTCTGTCAATCACAAGGGAAGAAATCGTGTGCAGAAAAATGGCCGCCGACGGAGTAACGTCTGTGTACGCCGAGATTCCGGAGGAATTCTTCTGACCGTTAACTTTTGTCTTTCCGAGAAATCATGGGACGAGAAGAAACGAGACGAAAAAGTGGAGTCACGCCTCCGAGGTCGGGAGTTATTAAGGGCTCCGGGGACCTCCCGACGAACCCTGTCCCGATGGTTATGAAACATTCTCGGGTGAATTTCGAAGATCGGTGTTGCATCCGTGAAAGTCGAGAATTTTAATAGCGGTATCTACGGGCTTATTCATAAATCACCGACGAGTCGGAAGTGTATCAAAACTTTCCACCCGTGAAATTGTGCATTTACTTGAGCACAAAAAGTCACAACCGATATTGGATTGTAAGTTTTTATTGCGTGTTCGCATCGAACCGGATTTAATATAATATAATTGCATATGTATATATATTATATTGAATATATAATTGAATATATTATAATATATTAAGCAATTGAATATAATTTGTAACTGATCACGATAATTGAGGCACCTAACTTTAAAATACGAATCGACTGGAAATAGTCGCGATACCAGTCCGAATGAATTTTTCAAATTCCGAAAATGTTGTTTCATCAAAATATTGTTTTATATAGTAAACTATATCATTTTTTCTTTTTTTCTTTTGTTTTTAATCTAATCGAAAGTAACCGCTGTTAAGAATTTTTAAAAATTGAGTTATTTGAAGAAGGTACGGAGCGACGGGTTTTTTTCAGATGCACTTTTTACATTGGATGATTCTGATGTAATACAGCACTTGATTCGATAGAGAGTTTACTATCTGACGGATTATTTACTCGCCGCTATTGAGGCAACGTCAAATAACGTTTACATGATCGATGGTTCTACTCGTAATGCTTGTAAATTTTCCGTTAACGTAAAACGCATCTTTGAAACTTACGATGAACGCGCTCGCGCGATACGGATTTGTCGCTGGAACGTTCTAGAGAGTACGAAGTTCGAATATAGTGTTCTCGCGTTTGAACGAATATAAGCGATTATCAGAGAGGTGAAAGCGAACCGTTTCTAATTCCTCATAAAAATACTAATGAATTTAATTAAATAAACGTGAATTTATTGACACAGCAAGCTTAAAATTCTTACTTGTATAAGTAAGAATAATATAATATAATCTTATAAATAAATATAATTCTTATATATTGTATGTTATTGTATATATTTATATATATATATATTGTATATTTATTAAATAAAATAATATATCTGCTTATATATTTATTTATTTTTATATATTTATTCTTTACAAGAATTTTATAAAATTCTTGCTTACATATTCATTGTGAATAAATACTTATTCAAAATGAAACCTGAAACCATACTTGGAATAATAATTGAAATTATAAGCTATGTTTGGACTCACATGTTCTGTGTACAAAAATATCTGTTCCCGTTGAATTTTGATAGAAATGCATGTTATTCTTAGGGACTTGTTTAAAAAATGTTCTCATAGAGCTGATAATATTTAAAATCAGCAAAATAAACATTCCATAGAATAAGCTATTTCAGAAATTTTATATTTAAAAAACGCCTCAAGAGAGAAAGTTAAACCTTAAATCTTAAATTTTCAATCTGTGAATTATTCAGTATAATAATAATAATAATAATAACAATAATAATAATAATAGTAATAATAATAGTAATAATAGTAATAGTAATAATAATAGAAATAATAGTAATAGTAATAATAATAATAATAGTAATAATAATAGTAATAGTAATAGTAATAATAATAATAGCAATAATAGTAATAGTAACAATAGTAATAATAACAATAAAATTTTAGTTCAAAATATTAGTGTACATAAGCTAATGGGTCCATTTGGACCCGACCGTAGGTCTCTGCGCAAACACCCAACCACCGCTAACGCGAGAGTTAAATAGTGATCTAGATTAAGCCAAATTTTAAAATTTACGATCATTGAAATCGTAAATCCACATTAGTTGAACGTTTCGTCGGACACGTAACGCGATAAAAATCGCTAAAAACCTGTAATTAATACACACATACCGTTATTATTCCGAAGCAACATAAAAGACGGCTGCTTTCAGCGCTGCGCAAGGCTAGCGTTAAAATCGCCGTAGCCGCGAAGCACACACATACATACACACTCAGCTAGATCCGAGAATAATATATCCTTCGAAAACCGTTGACAATCGGCGCGCGCCGCGGCGTTTTCGCGCGGCGCATAGGAAACGGCGAAGGGATTCGCGGAAAAGCTTGCCACTGATTTTCGCGGTGCCGCCGCCGCCGCGCAGCCGACGCGACGCGCCGACCCGAAGAAGTTGCCCCGAAGCGGAGCGAGACTCGACGGCGCCTGCGTAGCCATGTGACGTCATTGGCGAACCGGGCAGCTCGTTCGCTAGACATTCAGTCTCGCCTCAACGTCGAAGGAGGTTAAACCAGCGGCGTACGTAGCTCGTCGCAAGTAGTATCACGGAAGTGATCGGGCACCGAGGGAGTCGGCCATCGTCGCGCCAATAATCGTTTTTTCAAACTCGCACTACACGAAACGTGTGACGGAGATAAATCAGTGGGGTTCGTAGTGAACGCACATTAGATTGCCGATTGAAATCGGGGAGAATCGACGAGCCCGAAAGGACGATCTCCGCGAAACGGACGAAGAAGAAGAATCAAGAAGTATAAACCGAGCAAAAAGTGTAAGAAGTAAAAATCGTCTCTCTCTCTCTCTTTCTGTCATTCGCGATCGCCGCGTTTTCTTCGCAGCGTCGCCCGTAGTCTGCGCGCAGTTTCGCGTATCGTATAGGTTAAATCGTCGCGTCGCGCAAACGGTCCGATTGACGTCCGCAGGCAGGCGAGTCGAAACACGTGTCGTCGCAGAGCAGTGTGGCCACGGGAACCGAGGCGGTAGGGTTCGCGTGCGAACGATGCTTCTGTCATCGCGCGAGTGACAAGTTCTCGTCCAGCCGTCTCTAGGACACGCCGCGAAGCTTCGAAGTGCCGTCGGCACGGTTCGCGCACGTTTCCGCGATCGTCGCGTTTCCCAGTGATCCCTACTATGCACACTACGAGCACTGCGACACTGCTATGAGAGAATGAGCTGCTCGGTGAAGATCTCGTGTGGCAAGAGCTGGAGCGGATCGCAGCGGAGGATCAACTCATTGGCGGAGGAGCCCGCGGCAGGAGGCGCCGGCTGTTCCGGCCAGGCTGCACAGCAGACGTCGACGTTGGGCACGGCCGCCACGTCCACGACGACCAGCCCCGCGGCCAGCGGCGGCGGAGGCGGACAGAGGATCGCGTCGCTGCGCCCTGTCAGGTCGATCGCCGCTAAGAAAGGGGAGGATACCACGAAACTGCTCAAGTACATCGAGGATAACGTCATCGGCAAGAATGGCACGTTCTTCGGACCGTTCGGCCGCAGGAAAGGTCAGTGATCAATATAGTCTTCTCGCCCCTGCCGCCCCCCCCCCTCTCTACGGCGCCCTGCCCCACCGCCCATGGCGGACGGCACGCATCGTCCGCGCGACGCACAAAGAGATGCGCCTGCCAGGCTTCGTCGAGATCTCGTCGTTAAGGTCGTCAACATCGTTCGATTAACGGGCCGCGGAGTTCTGTTCAATAAGACCGAAGGTTCTCGATCGAGCCCGATTCACCGCGACTCGTGAACTCCTCGCCGCGCGTCCAAGACCGGACGAGTTTATTTCTTTTTCCCCCCTCGAATTGACCGTGCCCGGGGGAACCTGCCCGAGGCAGGTCTCGAACGGAGGCAGGAGGACGCCTCGCAAGTGCCACTCGCGGCGTATAAACTTTCGTAACGCGACACTCGAGAGCCGTTCGGAAACCTCTCTCGCGTAGGAAGTACACGTATCCTCCGATCGGCAGCGTAAGAGAACGCGCGCGCTGGATCCACCTGGATCGATATACATAGCGCGCGTTCTTCATTGTTTATCGTTGAACGCCGCTGAATCGGCCGGATCGGCGCGCAACGTCGCCTTGCATCGTTATTCGCCGTCGTGTATGTGTTTCGCGTGCGGAAGGTGGAGGGGGAAGCGAGCGAGAGGCGTCGATGATACAAAGTATATAGTCCTGAAAGTAAACATCGGCGATCCTGTTACGGGAACGCGCGTTACACCACAGCGGGCCTCGTTAAATATTCCGAGAAGCGAATGTTTACCCGCGTCGCATCATTCGAGTGTCGTTGGCCTGCCGCGATGAAGGCCGTCCATTTTTCTGACCGAGAATCAAGATCGTTTCGGCGAGCTCGCTTTAAACTCGATTTCATCGTGATTTACTAACTGTGCCGCTCGCTTGCTCGCTCTTGGAAGCGACAGCTTCAGCCGGAAGCCTCTTTTCTTCCGGGGTACTTCGTAATCGTGGCGCGGCGTCGAACGTCGTCCGATCGAGTCGACCGCGGCCGTCTTGGAAACTCGCTCGCCGCCCGGCAGGAGGCGGAGTGGGGGGAGAGCGGAGCGGCGGCGATGCTCCGTGAGATCTGTCCGCGGTTTTCTCGACCGACGCCCACTGCGGCCCGTGCGCGATGCAAATAAATTGCCCGGCGTCGGCCATTTAGAACTCCTCCATTAGCCCGCGCGCGCAATTCCATCCGCGCGCAGCGGATCGCGCGCTCGAGAAACGTCGCGGTACCGTCTTCTTCCAATCGTTCCTTTCCAGGTAAGACGCGTCCCGGGACGATCTGGGCGTGGAATAGCGGACGAACGATGCGGCGCAATTGTCTAGAAAATTGTTCGCGACGGAACGCGTGCGCAGCGTTAACGATTTTTTTAAATGTTCGGTCCGCGGTTCCGCGACGCGCGGCGAAGATCGACTTCTTCGACAGAGAATTCAGCATTGCCACGTTCGAACAATGGTATCGGTTTGGAAAAGAATTCAAAGTCTGCTGCAGGGCATGCGTCACCGATTCGCGTGTTATTGTCTGACCCCGGTGCGCTTTCCAGATGCAGCGTCGTCGAACCGACGTATGTACAGGGTGTCCCGAAAATGTCTCGCAAACCGCAAATGAGAAGTTCCTGGGATCGTTTGAAGTAACTTTTTTCCTTTGCGAAAATGCAACCCATTGCTTCGTTCGCGAATTATCAACGAAACAACACTGACCAATGAGAGGCGAGCGAGCTTGCCTAGCGCTTGGCGAACGAGCCAATGAGCGCGCGAGGCCCAGTTCCGCTCATTGGCTCGGCCGCCTTGCGCCAGCATATCTCACCTCTCATTGGTCACTCTTTTTCGTTGATAACTCGCAAACGAAGCCACGGATTGCATTTTCGCCAAGGACAAACTTATTTCAAATTACTTAAGGAATCTCCCATTCTCGGATTGCGAGACATTTTCGGGACAGCCTGTATATGTATGTGCTGTCTCTTTCAATTTCACGCGATTGTACGTGGTTTGCCGAGAGGACGCTATTCAATTTTTTTTCTCCGCTAAACCGATAACGAGATTCCGTCGGACCGAGTGTTTTCTATTTTCGTACCGTACTTCGGATCGATCCGTCTTCATCCGCCACCGAGATTCGACAGCGACCTTGTACTTGATTAGTTCTCTCGCTTTTCCGCGCGCACACCACGATCACTGCCGCGCGCTGTTTGACTTTCCTATCGCGCTCTTTACACACACGTCCATAGATACCGAATCGGATGTCACGATACTTAACCCTTAAATGCGTGATTTTTTTTGTTTTTAATTCCTACTTATCAAGCTTTACTTTAAAAACGAGCGTTTATTGGGGGGGGGGGGGAGAATAAAGAGAAAAATTGTATCTTTGGGAAAGTAGCTTTTTATTACGAAATTATCGCGTGTAGCCCAATCGGCTACAAAACAAAATATTCTTCTGGATACATTATATGTATATATATAATTATTATGATAACTTGAACAAATGAAAGTATTATTAAAATTTCTATATTAATTATAATACATATTTTAATTTTTATTATTTAAAAAAAAGAACTTTGTACCATTAAATTATATAATTCTATTAATTATTTTTACTCTTATTATACTAACATTAAATTATTTTCTTGACCAAAAATCTATGTATTATTGTATAACTTTTATTTCTACAATTGGAGGAATTATAATTATGTTTCTATATTTGACAAGATTTATTGACAACTTTTTTCACAAAAATTATAAACTCTGTATAAAATATTTCTATTTAATTGTATTAACCTTTACGATACTATTTTTTTTCTATAATTATTAATTCTAAAAAATCAACTATTATAATAAATTCAATTATATATGTAATTGAACATATATATAAATGATCGACTTTAACACTTAAATGCGCGATTTTTTGTTTCCAATTTCTATTTATCAAACTTTACTAAAAAATGACTATAATTTAATAAAAAATTATGTCAAGGTTATGTTAGGAAAATAGTTTTTTTTATTACAAATCTTCTTGTAGATATAATATATTCTAGATACAATATATATATCCCATATATGTCCCAAAAATGTCTCACAATCCGAAAGTGGCGGGTTCCTCAGGTGATTCGAAGCAACTCTTTCCTTTACAAAAATTTTCTCCGAGGCACCGTTAACGAGTTATTAACGAGAAACAGTGATCAATGAGAGGCGAGCACGGCTGGCGCGAGGCGACCGAGCCAATGAGCGGAACTGGGCTTCGCGCGTTGGTTGGCTGGGCCGCCTCGCGTCAGCCGTACTCGATTCTTATTAGTCACTGTTTTTCGTTAATAACTCGTTAACGGTGCCATGGAGAACATTTTTGTAAAGGAAGAAGCTGCTTCAAATGATGCGAGGAACCCGCCATTTCCGGGTTGCGAAACATTTTTGGGACACCCAGTATATAGTGTATCGGGAAGAGGATTTTGTTTTATAGCCGATCGGCTACATACGATAATTTTGTAATATATTGTAATAATATATAATATTATTATATATATATAATTTTAATATAATAATTATATATATAATATTATATAATTATATTATATTTATTATAATATAATATAAAAAATATAAAATAAATATAATATATATTATATAATATAATTAATATAATAATATAATATAAAATTATATTATATATATATATATAAATTACAATTACAATTACAATTATATTATATACATATACAACCCTTAAGTGCAATACGATGCACTTAAGGGTTAACTTCAGTCCGGTGCGCCGTGCTGCGTGAAACCAAGGGGTGCGTCGCAGCGAGCAGTTTTTCAGCGCGGCCGACGGAACGGCCCGTCGATGCGCAGGTTGATCACCTTTTCGTTCGTCAAATAAAACGGTATTAGCGCTAATAGCTGGTAGTGTGAACGAGAGGAGGGTCGCGTGATTCATTGAACGGGCCGAGGAAAAAGCTGCCGGGCGAACACGGTCGATCGGTCGGTCGGCGCTCGAAAAACAAGTTTTTCGGGGGCCGACTTTGACGGTTCGGCCAGATGCGAGACGTGTGCTGTCCGATGCGCGCGGATGCGCCGATTCGTTCCGAGAAAGCAGATGCGCAAGGTCGCCTATTGTGCGCGAACGCGGACGCGTCCTGCGCCCGGAGAGTATCGGCGCGGTTAAATGCATTAATAAATGACGGCGACGGGCCGTTGCGGTGCGCTCGCTCACCTCGCAGAGACTCGAGCGGCGGCACGATAGCGGCGAATGCGCGGCCGCGATAAGACGGTTTACTACGTTAGCGTAGCGCGTTATCGGCGCGGGGCACAGTCAAGGACTCGGCGAAGAGAAGAGAACGTCGTACGAAAGAGAACGAAAACGAAAGTACGTACGCAGCTCGTGCCCGCTCCCCGGCATCATCGATGTCGTCATCGGGCGGATATAGCCACGTGGACGGCCGCTGCCTCAAGTGCAAGGTCAACCGGTGAAATACACCCGAATATCTTGATCCGACGGCGCGCGGGTTTCGTTGCGGCTTCGCGCTCCCTTCCCCCCACCCCTCCGCCGCCAGTCGGCGTCGCCGGTCGAGCAACGCCGTCTCGCGTTTTCGAAATTCGACGATCACCACGCTCCGGGGGTAACCGCGATAACCTCTCGATTGCGCGTACCGCCCGGGCCAATTAGGATGATTTCTGCGATCGGAGCCGTTGACCGAAAAGCATCGACTGCAACGCAAAAATTCTCGGAGCTTTGTTTCTTCCGATTAACCACAAACCTGTTATCTGGTGATTTTATTTTTACTCTTTGCTCGACCGGTCCAATTATTTGCTTCGCATTTGTTTCTCGCGGTGAATTGTTTCGTTTGTTTTCGGCATCGAAACGACAGCGAAAAATCTGCACGATAATCTGGACCATTGATCACGTAGAGGTGAAAACAGAAAAAAGTTGGGATTTGCCAATATACAGGGTGTCCCAAAAATGTCCCAAAAATATATAATATTATTATTATTATATTATATTATATTATAATTATATTATTATATTTATA